GGGCCGCTCCCAGCGCTCTGCTTCCGCAGCCGCACGGCACCGGCGCGCAACGCTCCCACGTCTTCTCCTTCCTCGGATTTACAAAGCAGAGGAGCGCAGGTACGGCGCCGGGCGCAGCTCGTTCACACACGCGGCCGCCTGCCTCACCCCTCTCCTCTTCCCTTCGCGGGTCGCGGCTGTTCGATGAGGAGAGCAGCGTTTCTTTAGCACAGGTGACCAGGAGACTCCGGTATAACACTGAGCTCACGGCGACAACGGGGCGAATGTGTGTCTAAGTTGGTTTATTAATTCAGTCTGTTCTAAGTTGTACAATTATGAAAACAACAAAACGACTGCTGGAAGCCCAGGAGTATTTACAATCTCGCCTTGTTGTAGTGAGGTCAGTCTATGTTGTTGCACAGATCGGTTATGTTTGGTACCACAAGATGTTTAAAATTCAGACAAATTTGAACAGATTAACAATTGTATATACAGGAAATAAAAGGAAATTCAAGTATCAAAATACAGACAGATTAAATAACATTTGTATTACAAATCAGTCCCACTGCCAGACATCACAATTAGCAAAAATGTCTACGTTGCAAACTGAACTCGACTGTTCTCTGCCCTGTTAGGGAATCTCAGGTTATTCTTCCATGGGTAAGAAAAATGTTTGAGCTAGATCGACTTTGCAAGAGCAGCAGTTACTTCCTTTTGGGAAAAAAAAAAAAAAAAAAAAAGCAGTAAGTAATGCCAATATGAGACCTAAAAGGGAGAGCTTTTGCAACAAGACAGCGCTGCAAACACCGTGCTTGCTCTAAAATAAAGATCTGATTGCATGAAGCGATGCGAGCAGAAGCAAGCCAGGGAAAATTCTGCTGCTAAAAACTTCTGAAGCGGGGCAGAAGGAGCATTAAAGCAAATGACTCCACTTCAGCTGCGCACAGAACTGGACGTGTTCGGAGGGACTATTTGGCATCTGCTCTGTGTCTCAGCAGCCTCGTGAAGGTACAAACTTTTCACCAGAGGTACGTGCTGGAAGGTGCCGTATCTTCTCCCTGGGAGAGGGACAGGCACGTACCCCACAAGTTGCATAATTTCTTCTAAAAAGAACAATCCCAAAGTGAGTTCAAAGACAGCTGAACAGCTAAGATTAGCTTTTTTTTTTTTTCCTTGTAAATACAAAATGAAAAAGAATAAAGCAGCTTCAATTTGGAAAAAAAAAATAAAATCATCCCTTCCTATATAAAAAAAGACAACAACTTCTGCATCTTAGTTTACCTATCTTGAGTTCTCGGCCTGGACTCATGCCATGCACAAACTAAAGTCCGTAAGACACAATCTGTCCTTAAAAAGGGGAACAAGGCCCAGGGCAGCACCACCTTTTCCCAGGCAGGTCATACAGCAGATGCATTTTGATTCCAAGTCATATTCAGCACCAGAAATTTAGGGCACTTTCCTCCAGATACCACCAAACCCCTGTAGGGAGGAAGGGCCAGAATACTGTGCAATGGGTGGGTTAACAGGTTACCGGGAGTCAGTGACGGGCACGGTCCAGGATCGGCCTCCAGCATGCAAGTACCTTGAGAACACCCATCGAAACAACAGGGAGATGCATTGCCAAAACAACTGCTTTATCTATGAAGTGAAAAAGAGAGTATCTGGCTAAAGAACTGTTGGATCACTAAAGACAACCATAGGATTACACGCGGGACTGGGAAGGACCACCAGGGTCACCAAGCCCAGTCCCCTGAAGATTGGAGTCTTCATCACCACTTCGCCTCCAAGCCAACCTTCAAAAAGCTCATGCATCAAAAAAAAAAGAAAAAAAGGCGTCCCTCCTCCCAAGCAGAGGTTCAATTTGCAATCTCTCCAAAAAGACTTGTTGCCAACACACCAAATATTTACACTTACACCAGTATGAACTGCAACATATGCATAACAAGGAATGTTAGGTTTCCTAAATTCATCAACTTAAAAAAAAAAAAAAAAAAATCTCCACTTCCCCTTCCTAATCATTTACAGGTCTATGCCCTTGGGATTACGGTTCACTTCTCTCCCGGCCTTACTGGCTGGAGAGACTAAATGAAATCCTGACATACAGCAGCAGCTGGAGTTAAACAGAACTAATTCGGGCATATCACTCTAGTAAAGCAGCAGGGAACCACATCCCCAACCAGGCCAGCGCCTGTCGAGATCCTAACGAACGTGCTGCGCTACATTTTTGCGTCTGAAGAATTAAAGTCACAACCATTTTAACGTCTCTCCCTTGAGGGGAACAGTACTGCGAAAACACATCAGTCACAGCCAAAACCACTGTTAAATACTCTGGTTAGTCGAAAGAAAAGTAAGCACACAGCACCTTCGAGTTGGTGGTACTTGGGATACCGGCCTCAGACGGGGGCCAAGCTGTCCTCAGGTTGATATGATTTATCCTCGGGTAGGGACTGTTTCAGTGTAATGCCCAAAATTTAACTCCTCACTTGTTCATCTTCTGAAACTGTTGCACTAATTAAATAACGAGCTAGTATCAAAAAAGTGCTAAATCACAATTGAATATACTTTAAAAAAAAAAAACAAAAACAAAACGAAAAAACCCCAACCCTTCAGGGCATAACTGCATTTAAAAACAAGACAGGTGCACAAGCGGCTGGAGAAGGGAGTCGTCTCCAGGTGTTCAGTGCGTAAATGGGAAGAAATTGTGTCCTTGCCATAGAAATGTCAAGTATTGCGATGCAACAGTTCTCTGTAGGGGAAGCAAGCTTTGTACCATCGGAAATACTTGGCCACAACCACTCTGGGGTGAAAGATACTTTGCAGGCTCTTTTCCTTATGTTATTTCCATTTGCTATAAAAGCGCGGAGTAGCTTTGAAAACAACGGATGCAGACTTACCCTGCAAGGCTTCTCACACTGGTGGAAGTTATTTCCAAGAATTTGGCCTTCTCTACTGTTCACCCAGAATTGAAGCAAATTTAAGTACCGTTAGAGATGCGCACACCACTCCCACGGCTAAGACTTTCTATTGTACTCCTTGCCGGACTGCGTGGATTCTCAGTAAATAAGAATATATATATATATTTTTTTTTTTTTTTCCCTCACCAAAAAACTGCAGTGCTACATTTAAACCACGAACTGGAATTTCCTCTGTATCATTTCACACGTTAAAAAACAAACGGGTCGAAAGGCGTTTGTCTCAAAACTAGAAAAGGTGACATCGCTCTCGGCTTCGGAAGTCTCAACTTTCCTTTGCTAGAAATGGAGAGAGCTGCTTTCCTCAGCTGGTGGCAGGAATCCCTTTTCCCCCCTCTGCTCTGGGAGCCCTCACTGAGCAGCCATGCACCCACTCCGAGGCAGCCACCCGTGCCAGATGGAGATGATCTTCGTGTCAGCAGGCCGCTGCTTCTTAGGTCTCTGCCCCGTTACTACATTTCCGTGGTAGGAGACAGCTGCCCGGAGATCAGCTTTTCAGAGGCAAACAGAAAGGAAGATAATGGAATGAATGATTTCCGAGTCATACAAAAACAAGTGCCGGGAAGGACGAGGCACACGGCCAGGAGATGAGACACAACCGTGAGGGTTACGGACACGCAGAGGAAGAAGCTTTGTAGTTCAGGCAGGGCTGCCTGTGACCCCAGCTGGCTTGGGACGCTCACCCTTCGGAAGGCACATGCTCCAGGGACCCCGTTTTAGGAGGTGCTGAGGGACCCGCCCTTCCCGGCTGAAGGCAGGGGGAGACGCGAGAGCTCAGACCCTCTACAGCCAGGCGCACGCGTGGGCAGCTGCGCCGTAAACGCTC